GGGTTGCCAAGGGAAGTTGTGAATGCTCCATGCCTGGTGGTGTTCAAGGCCAGGTTGGACAGAGCCTTGGGTGACATGGTTTAGTGTGAGGTGTCCTTGCCCATGGCAGGGGGGTTGGAGCTGGATGATCCTTTCCAACCCTAACTATTCTGTGATTCTATGATCTCTTCATCAGGGACTGCAGCGATAGGACGAAGGGTAATGGGTCTGAACTTAAACAGAGAAAGTTCAGGTTGTATATAAGGAAGAAGTTCTTTACTGTGAGGATGATGAGGTGCTGGCACAGGTTGCCCGGAGAAGTGGTAAGTGCTCCATCCCTGGCAGTGTTCAAGGCCAGGTTAGACAGAGCCTTGGGTGACATGGTCTAGTGTGAGACATCCCTGCCCATAGAAGGGATATGAAACTAGATGATCTTTTCAGCCCTAACAGTTCTGTGATCTAGTACTTTATGCTGTACCATGTGCACACAGACCATTGTAGGTTTGTGACAGTCGCTCTTATTCCCAAGTCAAAGGCTGAAACTCTGTGAATCATCAGGGAAGGGTGTACAAAGAAGGAAAGAAGAAATTGTTAAATATTGGCTTTTCGGATAAGCAAGGAAGCAGTGATTGTTGATAGGAAAGTGACCTTATTTATCTTTTCTCCCTCTTCATCCCTGCTTCCACAGTCAGTACCGCGATCCTATCGGCACGTCAACTTTCCAGATGATGATGAGGAGATAGTGCGCATCAATCCTCGGGAAAATATTTGGCTGACTGGATACGAGGACTATCGCCATGCCCCAGCACGGGGAAAGAACTTTGATCCTGATGACATGGACTCCTACGTACGTTTTGCCAAAAGTGAGGCCTCAAAACATGAATACACTTATCCTTACGTAGACAACTCGGACTTTGACCTGGGTGAAGATATCAAGGGTGCTGTGATAAAGACTCAACCTGTCAAGTTTAAGCCCAGGCGGAAGGAAGATGGGGAGAGGTCGCGGTGTGTGTACTGCAGGGACATGTTCAACCATGAGGAGAACAAACGGGGTCAATGCCAGGATGCTCCAGACCGCGTCAAGACTTGCATCCATCGAGTGAGCTGTATGTGGTGCGCAGACACTATGCTCTATCACTGTATGTCCGATCCAGAAGGAGACTATACAGATCCTTGCTCGTGTGACACCAGTGATGAAATGTTTTGCCTCCGGTGGATGGCCCTTATCGCCTTGTCTTTCATTGCTCCATGTATGTGCTGTTACTTGCCGCTTCGGGCTTGTTACCACTGTGGGGTCATGTGCAGGTGCTGTGGTGGAAAACATAAAGCTGCTGGATGACTACAGATGCATTCAAAGTGTTACGTTTTTTCTGTAGTTCAAGGAACACATTGGTTTCGGAGCATTGAGATCACTCATTTTGATGCAGCCACTGTGCCCAACAGCATCCAGAAACCACCAGTTCGGATCACTTTACATTTGGTCGTCTGGGGCTCACACTGCATTGATTTGCTCATCAAGTGTTCTAACTAACTAACCTACAGCATAGACTTTTGTATTATTAATCTGTAATCAAAACAGACTGTCTTGTACATGTTTTTTTTTTGTTCGTTTTGTTTTGTTTTGGGTTTTTTTCCAGTTAAAATGAGTTTGAGAAAAGAACTTTAAACGGTGGTGGATTGTAAAACATCTCCAGGTTGTGTCCGTCTTGCCTCCGCTTGTGTGGTACCATCAGCGTGTTAGCAAGCTCTGGCATTTCTAGAAACGGGGTGGTGTAGTGAATTGAAATCTCACTTGGAAGGTATTTTTAACTTGCCGTCAAGTTATTGTGTGTGTATAGAAGGTGTGCTAGTAACAAACTTGTACCACAACACAGTATTTCTGTCACTGGTTTTCTTTGGGGTTTTTCTGTTCTGTTTTCCAAAGCAAAAATAGCCATCTAAGCTGCAGTTTCTCTTCTAGAGTCCATCGTCATTTCCTTCAGCAAACATCTTGAATTATTCCTGTTCATAAAGCTCTGTGAACAGAAAGCAAGGCTCAGTTACCATAGTCGCATAGCCATTGAGGATCTGGTAGTTCTCCTTACCTGTAATCATTTCAGACCACTACTTGAAAGACAAACTTAAATTTTAGGGTTTTCTTTTTTCCCTAAATAACATTGGAAAAATAAAACTGTGTTTTTTTCAGAGTTCTGCCCAAAAGAAAGGGAACTTCTTCCTTAGCCAGCCATGCAATGATCTGTGAATAAAACACTAAGGTTCCAGATGAGGAAAATTGTTGTTATGCAAAGAATTACTAACAATGCAATGTCAAAAGCACTATTATGGCAATTCTGGGGAAATGCTGCATTAAGTGGTGGATTATATGGAAAATTGTATTTGCTTGTTCGTTTTCTGTATAATAACATGAGCATGAGAACATACGCGTCCACAGTAGAAACTACATTTAGCAATCTAAGGTATGTAAAACCAAAAGCCAGGCTGTTAACCACCACTTCCATTTCCTGACCTGCAGTCCCAGTCCTCCGGATGCTTACACGTGTCTCGATGTATTGCGTGTAGGGTGAAGCATGTGAGGCTTTGCAGGAGCCAGACCGAAGCGTCTCCCTGGCTTTCCCTTCCCCAGTTCACCACCCAGATTTATCAAGTGGATGCATAAAGGTGCATATACAGCAGGATAAGATTACTTTAAGTTTTTTTATTGTTTTATTTTTTTTTTAAATGTCATGTTGTCTTGTGTACAAGGCTTGTAATTAGCTTGGAAAAAGAGTATTTTTCTAATATATTACAAGGAATAGCCAAATAATTTTTATTAAAAATAAAAATAAAAATGATTTAGTGCAGTGAGCTCTAACTAGCATAGTACAATCTGAATACTTTGAGGCAGCTAGGGATTGGCTTGTCAAAGCTGGCACTGCTGTTCCTGCCATAATTTCTTTCTGCAGTAAATTGCCAGTGGGCGCATGTCCTTTCCCTCCCTCTATTGCACATTGACATCAGTCTTAAAAAGAAAGGAGTATTTTCTTTTTTTTTATTAATTTGCCAAATAAATGTAAAAGGAATGCTTGCCATTCTTTCTTGGTGGAATTTCCCAACAGTTCCTCTGAGAGTTAATCACAGCTTTTTAGTCAACCATGAATTAAGTATGCAATGTGCTTATACACTATAGAGTTTGGTAGGTTTAATTCGTAGCAGTTGCGTGGGGATTTTTTCGGTTGGGAAAAAGAAACGAATGACAGTGGAAAAGGGATGGAGTGTTACGCTCTGGGTGATGTGTCTGGGTTTGCTGAATGAAATAGAAGTATTTTGTGCCTAATAGCAGTTGACAAATCTCTCAATGGTGTCTAATAAACATCAAGCCAGCCTCGAGGAAAAAAAAGAACCATAATGGAACAACCTTTTCCTTTTGATTTCTGTTCTCCAAGTTGTTTCATGTAAACAAACATCTGTAAGATCTTCTCTCTATAAAGCACAACACTACAAAAAGATCTTACAGCTTTTTGTCCGGTCTTGAAGTGCCCCTATTTATTTAAGTAAAGTGGACATACTCCAAGCCTTTCTGTATGTCTGGAAATAAAAATTTTAACAAAAAAAAAAAATCCCTCTTTTTTTTTTATTATTATTAATTTTTGTCCTTCCTTTTCCGCCCTTTTCTCTTGGGTTTTTTTGTAATACTTGTAGATTTTTGCTGCGTGTGTTATTTGGTTTGTGAAGGCAGTGGTGTAAGGGCACAATGGTAGAAATGGGTGTTGTTTTGTAAATACTTCTCCTTGATTTCCACACTGCTGCTGAACAGTGTGTGCCGTTCTCCCCGTCAGCTTTGCAATACTGACATCGATCATTTGAGAGGAATTATTCAGATTTTATTTTTGTATCTGTGGTAACAAACCATTAACCAAATTTTCCTTTTTTTTTTTTATTTTGTTTTGGGTTTTTTTTTTTGTTATTTTATTTTTCTCCAAGCTATCGCTCACATTAACAAATTAAAGTGCCTGAAGCCTCATCGTTATTGTATCTATATACTAAAAGTTAAAACCCTGTTGTATTGATTTTTATAAGCCTTTTTACCTCTGTGTAAAAAAAAAAACCAACAAAAAAAAACAAAAACAAAAAATATATATACAAGTGTATGATGTACATTTTAGTTCTTAACTTCTTTTTTTATTGTTTCTAATATGTATGATCAGTGTAGCTATTGCTTTAAAATGTACCATGTAAATATAAATACATCATATCAAAATGATGACGTTTATTGTCGCAATGATGCTGTTTCTTGTTGTTCAGCTGGAAAATGAGGGGGGAAGGAAACGGGGACGCCTCAGGAGCTGCCTCCCCAAAACCTTGGGGTTTCTGAGGTAAAAACTTGGTTTATTGAGCATTTCTGGGTGGTGAACATTCCCTGCTTAGGGCATGTGCTGTTCTCACTCAAATGCAGTGGGGAGCAGGGGAGCGGGTCTGTTTTCAAGGGGGTTTTAGGTCATTTTTGGGTGTTTCTCACATTCTGGGGAGGGTGCCCGAAGGCCTGTGCCCCAGGAGGCCGTGGTGGCCATGACAGTTCCTTCATCTCTCCCTTCTCCCCAGGCCCTCCTCCCATGGGCTGCTTTAGGCAGAACTAAATACACTACAAGGGCTGGTTTTATTTTATCTTGCCTCACACAAGCGCAGCGGTGCTGAAGAAAGGGGAAAGCAGAGAGAAAAGCGGCAGATAATGGCTGCCGAGCAAGGGCGGCCTTGCTTTTTGAGGGCACACAGTGTAGCTTTGCAGGGCTGGCCAGGGGCTCCTGCTAATGAGGGGAGAGCCGTGGGGCGGCTGGCACTGCCATCCCTGCTTGGACATGATGGAAGAGGAATAACCGGGCTGATAGGAGCACCAGGCTGCAGACAGTCGACTGAGGAAACCGGGGGAAATCTGGTGAGTATACCGGAATCTTTACTTTCAAAGGGGGCTCGTCAGGCCAATGCCAACCGCTTCAGCTCTGTTTACTGTAGGTAACTTTGCCCAGAGAAGCTGTGTTCAAGGCCAGGTTGGACAAGGCTTGGAGCAACCTGCTCTGGTGGAAGGTGTCCCTGCCTGTGGCAGGGGGTTGGAACTGGATGGGCTTTAAGGTCCCTTCTAACCTAAACCACTCTATAAGTGATATAACCAGCTGTGCTCCTTTTTCTATGTGGGGCTGCTTGTTTCATTGCTGAAGAGGAAAGCTGCCTCAAGCAGCGTGTAAGAGGGGAAGCAAAGAGTACATGCACCAGACTATATATTGTCTTATAAAAGATTTGCTCTCTGCAATGGTGCTTTGCATGATCTGCATCCACCCAGCACATGGGCTGGCACATTGGTTGTGTAAGTAACCTCAGTGTTTAATTTGCCACAGCTTTGCTGAGATCCCTGAGTCCCCTCTCACTTTTTATTGGTTTCTATTTGTATTTAGATACTTCTAGAAATACTATATGCTTATATATACAGATTGCTGTGTATGTTTATTATACAACTGTATGTTTGTTGTGCATTTAAGAACAACTTTGTGTACTTCACGAGAAACACATGCATGGTGGGTTGGGTTTTGTGTTCAGGAGCACACAGAATCCTTTGGTCTTTGCTGGTGTGGGCTCCATCTGTGGCTAAACCAAGGGCAGAGTGACTCTGACAGCCTATTGCTCACAGTCCATCATGCTCCCTTGGCTAACTATGGCAAGAAGACTTCTACCCTGCTTCCTGGTTGGTTGGATTCAGAATGTCCCACAGAAGACCTGGCTAAGCCACGTATCTTGGAGCCTGCAGCCTTCGTGCTTTCACCCGTGAATCAAAGGGGTTTCTTATGCCTTGAGATTTCTAAAGTGAACCGATAAATGGCACATTTGGACTCCGGAGCCATGGAAAATGCAAACTCCACCAAGATACAAGGCAACATGAAACTCAATCAACCTTCTGCAGGCTAGTTGGTGTGAAGGCCCCGGGCTTACTCCTGCTGATCATCTGGGATGGTTACTATACTCTCAGTAGGATACAATCAAGGAGATTTGGAGAGGACACAGATACAAGCTCACAACCACAAGAATCAAGGATGAGTATTTAATGGCCTTTAAAAATATGTATAATTCACTAGTAAATGTAATACAAATTACATTTTACAACATCATCCTTTCACCCAGGCTGAGTTTTAGGGACTGACAATGCAGCTTTGCATTTTACAGCAAAGAGACAACACTAATTCTGCTGCTACCATTGCCTGGGTCAGAATGGCTCTCCTGGCCTCTCCTTTCCCTGCTTTGGCAGCAGGAGCAGCACTGATCCAGTTCACCCCCAAGCCTTTCTCCTAGGGGGGCATCCTTGGGTTCAGACAAATGTTATCACAGCAGTCCCACCTGTGTGAGCTTTTCTCCTTGTAGCCTGTGTAACTTAAGAGGCAGAGAGCAAGTTGGAGCAATCCCAGGCACAGCTACAGGTTGGGCAGAGAAAAGATTCAGAGCAGCCCTGCCAGAAGGACTTGGGGGTGCTGGTCAATGAGAAAATGAACATGAGCCGGCTTCAGTGCATGCTTGCAGCCCAGAAAGCCAACCGTATCCTGGGCTGCATCAAAAGGAGCGTGACCAGCAGGTCGAAGGAAGTGATCCTGCCCCTTTATTCTGCTCTCCTGAGACCTCACTTGGAGTACTGTGTGCAGTTCTGGTGTCCTCAACATAAAAAGAACATGGATCTGTTGGAACAAGTCCAGAGGAGGGCCACAAGGATGATCAGGGGACTGGAGCACCTCCCGTATGAAGATAGGCTGAGAAAGTTGGGGCTGTTCAGCCTGGAGAAGGCTGCATGGAGACCTCATAGCAGCCTTCCAGTATCTGAAGGGGGCTATAGGGATGCTGGGGAGGCACTCTTCATTAGGAACTGTAGTGACAGGACAAGGGGTAATGGGTTAAAACTTAAACAGGGGAAGTTTAGATTGGATATAAGGAGAAAATTCTTTCCTGTTAGGGTAGTGAGGCACTGGAATAGGTTGTCCAGGGAGGTTGTGAATGCTTCATCCCTGGCAGTGTTCAAGGCTAGGTTGGACGAGGCCCTGGGTAATATGGTTTAGAGCAAGGTGTCCCTGCCCATGGCAGGGGGGTTGGAACTTGATGATCTTAAGGTCCTTTCCAACCCTATCTATTCTATGATTCTAAGGAGAGGATTTTCTTGGCTGTGCTCACTCAGGAAACCTGCAAATACTTCTAACAAGCCTCCCCTCATAAAAGCAGTGTCAGGTCAGGAACTGCAGGGTGAAAGGAGGGTGACTGTGAGGGATAAGCAGTGTGGGTCCCTCCAGCTACAACAGCTCTGTTTTCCTGCAAGGTATCAGGATAAGAGCTAGTCAGGAGTGACTGTAGCTGCCCCCTGTTGCTTTCAGGGGCAGAATGTTTGCATGAGGAGGGCTCACCCAGCCTCCTTTAGTCACTCAGTAAGAAAAAGCTTTTCTCACTCTGCTCAGAGAGCTGTAATTTAAATAGGAGGAGCTGACTTATCCCTGTTGTGAAAATGAGTAAGTCCAAGAGAGTCTGAATGACTTGTGTAATGTCACATAGTAATCTGTGGCCTGGAGTATCCTGAGCACAAATCCACCACCATCTTCATCCAAAGGTCATCCCTCCGGTCACTGAACCTCGACTGAGAGGTTTGGGCTTCTACTGGAGCCTTGCTGCATGGAACACAAACCAAACCAATAGGCTCAGCCAGCAAGGAATGTGTAAATCTCCTTTCTCTGCTAATTCCACTTAGAAATGCAAATTGGAAGTAGCTGTCAGGATGCCTGGAAACAAGAGGTATCACTGCATGTGTTCCTAATGCTTATCACAGGCAGAACTTGGCTTCTTGTACAGACCAAATGCAGCCTTTTTCACAAATCGATTGAGAGTGTGCTTGCAGCACTAGCAATAGGAAATGCTTTCCTTTCTTCACCACATGATGCTAGGTGACTTAACATCCTCCTAAGGCCTTGTCCTTTTCCAGGATGCTCAGCCTTCTGGTATTTTCTTAACATTTTGAATTAGGCAATTAAATTCCTTAGTATCTTGGTGGCATACATGGAAATAAATAGAAAAATGTTTGGCTTCCACCCAGAGACAAGATATTTAAATGGTGGAAAGTATGTGTGTATTTTTGGGGTGGCGTACTTAGATCTCCACAAATTCTTTTAGTTGCTTCCCTGCACAACCATCCCATGCCATTCATCTCGTTCCCCCGTTCCCTACTTGTAAATTCATTTGGGAAGAGTTAACAGCCTTTGGTTGGGCTCCTGCTGGATTTCAAGCCTGCTGCCTAATGTTGTGTGAGACAGGATCTCACAGCAGCACTCTGGGTGGCTGTAAAGGGAAAGGTTTCCGAGGACTGTAACACACCCCATCTCTCTGCATGAGCAATCACAGCTCCATGCACTGATGTGTGCTCTGAGGTGGCAGGGAAAGTACAAAGTCATTTCCAGACCTCATATAATTCATGCAATGACCTAAGGAGTCACTGATGTTAAAAATACGCATCCTTGCATGGGGAGCTAGAATTAATGCCTGCTTAGGGACGGCTAAGACATTACCAAGTCATACACAGCCTTGAACTTAATTCTTATCTAGAATATTTAATTATTCTTAATTATATAGAGAGTGTAATGTGAACTGACATTTCTTTTTCTGCATTTTCTAAGGTTATGTCACAATGAGCTGCAGAATTAGCCAACATCTGTTTTAAGGGAACTGACAGGACTACTATTGGGCTTACCACTTTGAGTAAGCGTTTTTCTGATTTTCACACTCTTATTTCCTCTGTTTCAGTGTTGTGCCAATGTTAACTTATTATCTGCTTAAGCTCTTGATGTGAGATTTCAGTATTAGAAAAAAAAGAACAGGGATGGCGAACTTGTCAGTGCAAACAGCGAGGTCTTTAATGCTGAAATATCAAGTCTGATATGTTCCCAAATGTACCCTATCTTCTAATCTGGGATTTCCGGCAGTCACATTATGTTTAGCTCCGACCTGATTCAGAAACTAAAAGCTCAGACACTTCTAAAATTCTAAGCATTAACATCCTTGTGCCCTGGAGGGCCGTTTTCAAGCTTAAAAGCTCAATTCCAGAACTACTGAACTCAAGTGATTTCACTTTAAAAGTGCTTACTCTTTACAACTTCCTGAGAACAATGATAAAAGCCAGGTTAGAAAGTATAACTTTCAACCACATTTGCAAAAGTGCTGGCCACAACTTAAAACAGAGAGCATTCTGATGTGCACGGCCAAAAGAAGCAGCACTCTGCTGGTTTTGTTCATGAGTCTAAACACTGCAAAACTCAAATCCCAGTAAATGTGCCTCACAAAACTGAGCACCTAAAAAAGAGTAGAAACTAGGGCTGAAGGCATTGTATATGGTTCACCCCAGATATGAAACATAAGTAGAAATGCACTGATTTTTCTTCTATTTTGATTGGGGTTTTGTTGGGGGGTGCCTAAAATGAAGCTCCTGGTGTCACAGTGATGTATTGATGCAGGGCCTGGTGTTCAAGCTAAAGTACCCCCAGTGGTTTCTGCATATTCCTGCTGCAAAGGGCAGATGATCTGTGCCTCTGAGTGTTCAGACCATCACTGCAGCTCTGGCTGCCAGGCAGGAAATGTATATACACACATGTATGTATGTGTGTGTGTGAGCACGCGTATCCTTTTGGAGCAAAAATTGCCAACATGAGCTAAAACCCCAAGTGATAGTTACCCTTTAAATAAATAAATAAGCAGGTAAAACTCCAGCTGTGTGGCTGACCCTGGTGGCTTGGCAACAATGAATGGGGTTTTCTGTGCAGTGGCCCCAAGTGTTGGGTATCACTGCAGGATTTCTTTGTTTGTGCAGTGATTAGACCTCAGTGAATGTCTTCATCATGGGGAATACCCCAGAACCCCATTAAGTGGTTGAGCCAGCCACAGAAAGGGAAGGCTTCCAAAGGAGAAAATGAAGCAATAGGATGAAGCAGAGTGTTCTGCTCAGAGGAGTTATCTGCTTTGCTATGACTTGAGGATCATGTGCTGAATGGTCAGTGGCTCTGTTTCTCTGGGGCCAGTGAGT